ATGTGAATTCTCATTGAATGAAAAAGACGTTACTATTTCAATAAATTCAAATATCTAGGAACAATCATATCATCAGATAGAAAATGTTACAGAGATTAAGAGCAGAATTGGTCAAGCAGCAGTGGCATTTTAGAAAATGAAAAATATCTCATGCAATATGTCGCTCTCATTTAATGTCAGAAAGAGAGTGCTAAAATGTTACATATAACCTGTTCTGCTGTATGGCAGCGACTCTTAGAATGTCAGTGAATAAATTAGGAAGAATTTAGAAGCAACAAAAATGTGGTTTATGAGACGAATGTTAGGAATATTTTTGACGGCCAGAGTAACTAACAATGATTGCTTGAAAGAGGCTAATGAAAGTAAATCTCTATATACAACAATAAGAAAGAGACAAACATTGTTTTTTGATCACGTAATGAGAAGAGAGGCAATGGAAAACATCGTAACAACTGGAAAGATCAGTGGAAAGAGGGGGTAGAGGCAGTCCAAGAGAGATGATGCAGAATGGGCTGAAACGATGGTATGGAGAGATATCATTAACAGAGCTGTTCCAGGCAACAAGGGATCGTTAACTGTGGAGATACATGAGCGCTTACGGTAATTGGCAAGGCACATGATGATGATGATGATGATGATGACTCGCCACAAATGTTCGTTACAGCAGCGGAAAAAAAATTCAACCTACGTAAAAATAGCATATTTTGGCTGCTGATGTTTTTCTATGCAAATGTTACGTTCAATTGTACCACTGTCGAAATCAACGCAAGACAGACAGAGTCGCAGCTGGGATCGAACCCGACACCTCGGCATTAAGAAGCGTGTTCGCAATGCCTAAGTCACAGACCAGAATAAGGAGTTAAAAGCATTGTTCATTCACTGGAGTCACAACATCCAGTCCACGAAAACATCCTCCATTTATCATTGAATCATTGCAGTCCGTAAGATTAACATTTCAAGGTTGAGAATCACGTATGTAAATATCCCGGAAACCCCGTTCACACCATATAGTCTTATCATCATTATCACCCTCTTCTTTATCATCATCATCCTTTTTGTGCCGTTAGACGTCACACAGGGCTCGCATTCAATTCGTCCACTAGGCTCTATTGTATGCAACTCTCTCGATTTCTGACATGGAGTTCAGCCCAACATTTTTAGCCTCTCGTAATAATGTTTCCTGTGGGCGTCCTCTTTTTCTCAGACAGTTTGTTTCCCATTTCATTTATTGTTTTGTAATTCTCTGCTCACTTCGTCTTACAGTGTTCCCAATCAATACCGTCTCCATCTGACAGACCATGCTGTTGACGTCACCAAACAGGGATAACCATACGTTAACGTAACGTTAGCCCGGTTTGGTGACGTCCGCAGCATGGCCCACCAGATGGAGACGGTCTTGGCCCAACAGTGAGCAGTAGAATACGCACTGTTCCTATCTGTAAAGTTTAACGGCAAGTGGGATAATTTGATTCAAAGTAATTCTGAAAGTAGACCACTGTTATTTTGTATATGATAACGACGTGTAAGTGGCCTTTGTCGTAAACTATACATCTCTCAGTACATTATCATCACACAAGCACGCACTACACAACGAAACGAGGTGCCAATGTTAGTATAAATCAACTTTTAACACAAATTATCTACCATGAATTACCTGTCTAAGACCATCTCGTCTTTCATATACAATGTCACCCTTTTCGTCGCAGGACATCAAAGCTAAACACATAATTAGAGTTTCGCAAAAACGTTATGCTTGTGATCTTTGTGTCGTTTATTTTTATTGGTGCTATTTTTGCAGTGCACCGTTACATGCGGGACGGGGACACAAATGCGAGAAGTCACGTGTCAGAGCGCTCCGTTGCAAGGGCGTCGCTATCATGTGGCTCCCTCTGAGTGCGGCGGTTTGGCGCCAGAATCCTCTCGCAAATGTCACATTGCTGACTGCCCTTTCCACGACAAGATCAAGCCGTATTCTATCTTGTCAGAGAATTATACGCTTATACAGCTGCATAGGACTAAGAAGATCAAAGTGAATATTGGCGGACAGGTTCGTTACTGCTGCTGGCGCAGTTATTAAAATGTCACATATTTAATATGTTTGGGTGACTTGGGGTCGTTCGTGTCTCTAACAGCAATGTGATTTTATTTTTTATTTTAATGTTAATCTTCTTATTCTTATATTACAATAAGAAAGAGACTCACACTGTTCTTTGGTCACATAATGAGAAGAGAGACAATGGAAAACATCGTAACAACTGGAAAATCAGTGGCAAGAGGGGGTAGAGGCAGACCAAGAGAGACGATGCTGGATAGGCTGCATTGATAGCATGGAGGGATATCAGCAAGAGAGCTGTTCCAAGTCAAAAAGTGATCGTGATCTGTGGAGACACATGAGCGCCTACGCCAGTCGGCAGGGCACATGATGATGATGATTTTTATATTCCTTGCTTTGTAGTGTTGGTAGTTATGTCTCCTTTACTTCCTCACTAGGATGTCAAACTGTCCAGCATCCTGTCTCTCAGTCTCTCTCTCTCTCTCTCTCTCTGGCTCTTTTCCCCACCAGCTACCCCACTGTCATGTTGTACTTAAGTTTTCGACTTCACATAACATGACCAAAGATATCTTTCTGATGTGAGCAATCAGTTTTCTTCGTGGGTCAGTTTCTTTCAAGACATCCCCACTTCTCTTTTTATCTGTGCAAGGCATTCTCACTATGCATCTCTAAACCCACATCTCTGCCGATTGTAAAAACATTTTTTTTTTCTTCTACTAATTAACCGGAATATCAGAATTTTGTGTAAGCTGTGAACGTTTGGTGGAGCCTGCTATTGTATGGGGTTAGTTTGCTTGTTTAGCAAGACAGTGTTCCATGTTCAACCCCCAGCAGTGGCAGAATTTGGTTTTCTGATCAGCACGTTTATTTAGAGGCGATGACACAAAGAAAACATTGAGGTATCAGGGTCCTCAGTCCCTTACACGTTTGTGTTAAAAAAAAGGGGGGTGGGGAGTGGGGCTAAGCTATTAGTGGCCTCAGTTAAAAAAAAATTAATGCCTAATAATAATGATAATAATAATAATGTGCTAATGTCAGATTAGTATATTTATAATATACACTACAAATCATATGAAATATATGCACAAATACAAAACAACATATGTACATGGCTTAGAGCGGGAAACACAATTCGGGGTAAGGGGGGGGGGGCGGCTTAAGGGGTTTTGGTATCCGTATGTTCATCATAATATGTATAAATGTTGTTCAATGTTGAATTAAGAATCCCTATCACAGCACTCAGGACACTCCCATAAGTGTCCCGTCCCTATCTTCAGCAGCAAACGAGGAGTTCCAATTCTGATTGTACCAGTAACTTCTTGCCTTTCCCTTGAGTGTTGAGCGTCGGCCAGATCCCCTGGTAAATTCCTGCAACGACATTCTCCTCAGACCTTAATAATCTGTTTGTGCCTCCGCACTGTTCACTCACTCCAAAGGGCCCTCATAATATCTAGCTGGTCACACATCAATTCACCACCAAGTGGTGCAGAACCAGCCACTTTATCTGTCTGCTCATTTCCCAACACACCGGCATACACAGGAGAAAATATCCAAAGGACGCTATCTACCCGGAACCTCTGAAGTGATGCTTGCCACTCTGCACAGAGCAGGCATGTCTCCACCTTTCTCAGCATGCTCTGTGAGTCAGTTACATTTACGGCATGTGCCTACAGCTGATTATCAAGCCAGCTAAAGGCAGCAGTGACTGCCTTCACCTCCATTCTCAAACTAGACGATGTAATATCATACGCTAGACTTTGAAGCACTAATCGAGATCCACGAGATCCATTTGCCTTTGCTATAAATAATATGTATAAAAAGTACGTTAAATCTGAGAAAAAAATGCAGCGGGGAAGGGGGGGGGAAGTGAGGGAATTGGCGCCTCACTTAAAGAAGTTTAGCGGCCTAGAATATAGGTATGAACTTTAATACGTCACATTTAAACATCTTAAAATCATCATGAGACTGTACTGTACATTCTGATAACGTAAAACATCGTTTCTCACATCGTAAACAGAGAGATTGCTGCTGTGATAGAAGAGGTTTGATGCAGTCCTCCGTAGCCATATTAGGGGGTTGGATGGGGGGGGGGGGGGGGGTGGATAGCCATGTTATTGTTGGTTAACCTCAGATGTCCGGTCATTATTTTTTTTTGAACCACCTGTAGTAATATTAGAGAACAAATGCATACCGAATTGTCACCTCAAGAATGCGGAACGCTGTCTGAGGCAATGTCTCGTAGTAAATCTAACTTGATACAGTTATTAGCCACGTTTTAAGGCGGTTCCAGACACGTATATTGCAGCTTGACTACAAATAGAATGGCAGCACAGCATATAGATATTGTAGTGGACTTGGAGGAGGTCTGGCCAGCTGACACAAAGAAAATACTGGAAATGCTTGCGGGGTGCAAAACTACCAAACACATTTTCTAAAGGCACATTTTTATGGGGGTGGGTGGGGGAGGGGATGAAGATTTTGCATACGTTTTGGTGCTTAAATATAATAATAATAACAATAACAGTAATAATGTGCTGAATGGCAAATAAATCTAGCAATATATTTGAAATGATATGATGTATACAAAGAAACACTTAAAGAGTGCATCTTAACAAGGTTAGGGAAGCCACTTAATAAGTAAAATATCTGTAAAGTATCAGTAAAGTATAAGTAAAGGACCCTTTTCGAACTAAAATCAATGGATGATGTGGTCAGTATCATGTCAGCTGTCTTTACTCCCAAGGACTTTACCTGGTACCAGTTTTAAGCTGGGTCAACCTGGAAGCCAAGGGCATTTAAAAAAAAAAATCCTACTCAGTGCGAATTTGATATGAGTATCTAGTCGATACACCAACTAAACTCCTGGGAACATTTCTTGGAGGGACCTCAAAGTGGGGGAGCCCCTTGTTTTAGTGTCCCTGAAAATAGTATTGGCACAAGAGGAAAAGACAATGCTTTACAACACTAAACTCAGTGTTTCAATTATTTTATCAAACATGCACAGGTTTTTTAAAGATGTGTTGCATTTCAGGTACACCTTCTGCCTGGACAGACGATAGTGGTCAAATGTCCAGTAAAACATTATTCAAAACAACTGATCTACTGGAGTACAGACTACAGGCTGGTGCCCTTCATGGGCCGTGTCAGAAGCACTCCTGGGGGTTTGTACATCAGCAAAGGTGACCCCAGTACAGATGCTGGAGTGTACACATGCATTGCAGGCAATCTAACTGCTTCAATAACAGTGCTTTTCATTGGGTAAAACATGCAAATCTTTACCTTCTTTGCATTTTTACTGCCTTTTTGATTACATTTTGCTTTATAGGAATGGTATGGCATAAACCTATGTTGCCTATCCTTTTTACAGGGACTTGCAGAATCAACCCCAGCATTTTTTTGGCTGTTGTGGTTTTTCTAAGCACATTTTACATTTAATAGTTTGCCATTGCCTCTGACTGGTCAGTTCTCAGTACCACTGTCAAACCCAGTGCAAGACAAATCGTCCGCAACTGGGATAAAACCCGGCACCCTGGCATTGCAAAGTGCATTAACAACGCCTACGCCACAGACGCCGACGGTATGGCATAGTAGTAAGTAAAAAGTAAAGGTCTGTTTACACACCAGTAGCGCATTGGGCACATAAACCTTTTTTTTTTTTAATTCTTTAAAGAAATATAATCAACCCTTGATAGGTGATGTGGACAAAATCATCTCAAATGTCTTTACTTCCCAGGACTTTACCTGGTAGCCTTGTAGAACAAAAGTCTGGGTTCAAACCGTATCAGCAAAGAAAAATGTTTTCAAGCTAACAGAATTCTGAGATTGACCCAGTCCTATATAACTGGTGCTCGGTGATTTTCTGGGAGGAAAAGGTGGCCTCAAAGAGATCTGATTACCCCACTTTCTAGCCGATTAGAATACTGAAACTTACCTCAGCAGCAGCAGCATCTACTGTAGGTTTACCTTTGTCTTTTTTGCTATATACTGCTTCATATATCCAAGAAAATATTCTTCAGTCAACTTGTTATTACTGTATTATTCCCCATCCTGCATTAATTATCATGAAATGTGTTCTATATTTACTGTGGAACAGTTGTTACATTAATTATTGTCATAAAGTGGGTCCTCTATTTACTGTGGAACAGTGGGTAAATTTATTATCATTATGGAACGGTCACTCTGTTTACTGTGAAAAAGATAATACATTAATTATCATCATGGAATCGGCACACTGTGGACTGTGAAACAGTTGATACAATAATTATTATCATGAAATGGGTCCTCTATTTTCTGTGAAATTGTTGATAAAATTATAATCATTATGGAACAGACACTCTATTTACTGTGAAACAGTTGATACATTAATTAAAATAATATAATAGGCACCCTTCACTGTGAAAAAGTTAATATGTTAAATACTGTCAAGGGATAGACACTCAATTTTGTTTTAAACAGGTGACATGTTAATTATAATTATGGCTTAGTCACTCTTGATTTATAATAAACAAGATCTATACAGTTTATGTGTATTAACTACGGATCTGTGTTTTTAATAAATTGTAAGATGAAGTGAGTACAATAAGAACTGTAAGCTTAAAAAGATGTTGATATATTATTTATGACTGCTTCTCTTTTCTCCCTTACAATCAACTACAATTCAGGAAAGATGATCCATCAACAGTAATATACAAACAGTGGCTGAAAAATTCAAACAAGAAAAATCACCATCATAAATACAAAATTCATGGACACAGGAACAATGACATTTTGACTTCAGCTGGAGAAATAAACTATGAAGAGTTGAATCAGCAGAGAGATCAGAGTCATAATTCTTCACACTCATCTCTGGTTTATGTGACTGGTGACTGGTCACCCTGCAGTGCTGCATGTGGGTTGAAGGGTCACAGGAAACGGAAGGTGTCGTGTTCCCACATGACCCCCAAGTACGTGAAGATTGTCCCAGATTTGGAGTGTCAAGCTCTTGGGCTAGACAAACCTGAAACTATAGAAGAATGCTCCACATATAAGCATTGTGCTATCTGGCGCCCTGGACCATGGTCTCAGGTAAATAAATATGTATGTGCATACTTTCTTAGTTGTTCTCGTATTCATCACCTTCTTCTTCTGTGTTTGTCCTCAAAAGGGCGGTTGGTATTTTGTTTTGTAGTTTGCATCTGTCGGCTTCTGTGGCTTAGGCGTTGCTAACGTGCTTCGTAATGCCGGGGTACCGGGTTCGATCTCTGCTGCGGACGGTTTGTCTTGCTATGGTTTTGACTGGTACCGAGAGCGGACCGTCCAGAGGCAATGGCAAACTACTGGGTGTAAATTTGCCTGGAAAACCTCAACAGCCAGAGAGTGCTGGGGTTGGTTCTGTAACGACCTGTAAAGGATACGCAACTTAAACAAGTTTGCATCTAGGCTGCAATATTTGCACTTTTGACCCATAACATCAGATTTCAGCAAAACCCTGATTAGTCATCTTTTACAAAATTACACGAAAATAATGCTTGTTAGGAAGAATTGAGTCCCCCTCCCACCCCCCCCCCCCCCCCCCCCCACTCACCCCCAAAATGGGGCCCTAGAACCCCAATGGAGAACCTTAATATTTAAAACAGGCAGATGTGTTTTCTTACAAAAGTCAGAATGTAGTGAGAAGTGTCGATTCTGACCCCACTGCACTTTGCATAACTTCTTTCTGTCTCTTGTCAAAATTCTAGGTAGGGTGTTTGCTCCTTCTTCTCGAAGATCATTTCTGCAGCAGTACCTCTGTAGATTCTGAGATCCCATTGTGGGGAAAAAAACACATCCACTGCATGTCGTAGGAGTCAACTAATTGGGGAGCATCCTTCGAAGTCAGAGTACATCTGCATGAGAGGCAAAGAACCAACAGTCTGCATACAAACAAGCCAGATGTGGTAAATGAATGTGCACACCTTCAACGCTATTTTTTTTTAAACAAGATTAAAGTCCTTAGGTGGACGAACACCCAGAACTTTCTGCCGGAGTTTACAGCCGGTGAACGCAAACATGTCACAAAGCATATTTTTAAAGGTTTCCTATCTTGTCGCGTCCGTGGCTTAGGCGTTGCAAACGCATTTTGTAATGCCTGGGTGCCGGGTTCGTTCCCAGCTGCAGGCCTTGCGCCTTAAGCTGGTTTCGACAGTGGTATCAAGAAGCCGGCTGTCTAGAAAGCAATGGACATAAACTTGCCTAGAAAAACCACAACAGCCCAGAAAATGCTGGGGTTGGTTCTGCAACGTCCTGGAAAGGATATGCAACTAACTATACTATTGTATCTTAACACATAAACATGTCGTTTTAGTCTGCACTTACAGTTACTGAATGGTTTTTTCCAAGCCCAACACATTTTCTGAAATTCTTCACACTGACCTCTTCTTCTTCCACCTTTAATTGATTGCACTCTTTAGCTCAACTTTCTGAAGTAACCAGTCTCACTATAACCCTCTTAGCTGACCTACTATGACATACCTGGTTGGCTGCAGCCTTACTATTTTAGTCTTTTGTCAGAGGCGCTGCTACAAATAAATCATGGGGAGGGGGAGTGGGCCTCAATCCCCTTAGAATTTTCTAGCGATGGAGACCTCAAGGGGTGTATGCCTTGTGTAAGTGCACAACAATAATCATAAGAATAATATTAATTGTTGCAAATAATTGGCAGCTGAATATATTTGAAATAATATGAAATATAAAACAAATTATTTTTTAAAATATCTTTACAAATGGGGTGGGATGTAATTAACCCAAACGCATACATTTTTTCAGAGAGGGGAGGGGGAGGGGGGGTTCTTAAAGTGCCTAAGCCTCCTGGTTCCGGTGCCCCTTGCTTCCCTTATGGGCACACCCTAAACATGGGTAACATACAGTTCTTTTTTTTCCACAGCTGTTTTGGCCTGGCTAGCATTGGTCTTATGTGTGCAGTTCCTGCCTAAACATGGAAGTTTATTGTAGAAATATGAGTAACAACATTCTGATAAGATTACTGAAAGCACAAACTCAACATCTCAAAAAGGATACAGCTGTATGTGGGGTCTGTGTGTGTGTGCATGCGAGAGAGAGAGAGAGAGTGGGGAGAGAGAGAGTGGGGGTACTAACTCATATATCAGAAACACACAATCCTATTGAGTTACAAGGAACGAAGTGTAATGAAGAAAAAGCCTGCAAGAGATTGTGAATTCAGTGTATGTAAACACTGTAATGTACTTCATGACCAGATCTAGGACAGAATGAACACTCAGCAGTTTCCCTCAGTCAACAGAAACTTCCACCCTGTTTACTTGACATTATAGAAGATAGAGCAAGAACATGAGGGAACAGTTTTATCATGAATACTTGAAGTATCACAAGAATTAAATAAATTTAGTTGCCTATCTTTTACAGCACATGAATTGCAAGCCAACCCCAGCATTTGTTGGCCATTTATGAATTTACTAGGCAATTTTACATTTATTCAATAGTTTGCCATTGTTACTGAATGGTCGGCTCTTATACCATTGTCAAAATCAATACAAAGCTATCTGTTGTCAAATCGCCTGCAGCTTAATTGAACCCAGTGTTTTGGAATTACAGACCATGTTCATAACTCCTTAGCCATACATACTGACAGGAGACAAAGGATAAACTCTCTCTGTACCAAGCAAGTCACCATATGTTTATTGGTTGCTGTATAAGTTAGACTGTTTCTCAACTGTTTATATCCCAGGCAGTGACTAACAGTCAGGGATACCTAGTAAAAGGTAGTTAACATTGAGGTAAGAAGGACTGTTTGGGATAGATACCCTGTCTTCAACATTTGCCCTTAAAAGAGCAGTTGGCATATTGTGGTATACAGTGAGGTTGCGATAACTGCACCTTTTAACCCAACACATCTGATTTCAACAGTGAGTGTATATCCTCCCTCCCCTTTTCAATCTCTTTAATGTAGCAGCATGGGAAAGTTTGCAATAAATTCAATTAGTAACCATAAAATAATGGTTTGTGTGCAGTTGAATGAGATAGAAATAATATTAAGCAAAATGATATCATGGTAATATGCAACTGTCTGAAATAGAAATGAAAAAAATAACTAGGGCATAATGATTTAATATGCTTGAACTGAAATAAACCTGAAAAAAATGGTTTAACTTGCAACTTTATTAGATATAAATGAAATTGATAACCAGGATATAATATGTAAAGATGTAACTGAGATAGAAATTAAATAAATATGTAGGATAGAATGATTTAATATGCAACTGTTTGACATAATAATGCAGTTAGAAAGGATAAATTGGTTTCAACAGAAAAAAACAATAAAATGAATGGCGAATTATTTCAGTGTCTGCCAAGCTGTGGGCCTGCTGGCCACATGACACGATTGTTGACCTGTGCGTGGGAGTCTACGGGACAATCTGCTGGAACTGCTTGTGACCTCAACAACAAACCAACAGTCTCAAAACCCTGCAAGACAAGACCCTGTCCACTAGGTTTGTGCTGTCAGTTTTTGTCCATTAAATATTTGAATATATCACTGTTGTTTACAAGGTATCAACCAATGAAGCCTATAGCCCCAATTATTGCCTTGATTATACCACTTTTGCGGTGTAGGCAGGGAGTCTTTAAGCCTGAGGATGGCAAGTGCTGTCACCATAGACTGTGCAGGTGAGAATTTTATTCTGCCTGCACAAGAAAAAAATCCAGAACCTTACCGAGGATTTGAACCTGGATCTCCGGCATGAGAGCCCAGTGAGCCACTCCTCAGCCAGCCTGTGGCAATGGTTTAATTACAAACATATGAAAAGCATATACACAGCTCAATGGAATAGTTACATAATGCAATATTTGACGTTTACCCTGGTTTCATGCCTGTAGTCGCCGTATGGCCTTGGGGCTTTTATTTTAGAGGGTGAAAGAGGTGGGTGGGGGGTGGGGGGGAACAAGAATGAACCCAATGTCTCCTAACAAACATGATGTAAAAGATGCCTAATTAGGAATGTTTTTTTTTTCAAAGTCTGAGTGCATCTGCCTTGAGACAAGGAACTAACAGTCTTGACACAAATAAGCCAGATCTGTAAAATTGGATGTGCATGCAAAAGTCAAGTTCTGGGAGAAGACCATTGTCCAGGAGCAGACGAACAACCAGAACTTTCAGCCGGAGTTTAAAGCTGGTGAACTTCCTGCAGGAGGCGGTTTAGAAAAAGACTGTTCTTGTTTTTTTGTTTTTTTGGATTGTAGTAAGAGAGTCAAACCATAGATGACCCTGGTAGTTCATCGCGTAAATCCAATAGTTAGTAGTAGATACAGTGCAGTCACCTTAACCTACATCATGGAGCCGGTACCATTTAACAAAACAACATGAAAATAAATTATAGCCAGTGTGACAATAAAAAAAAAAAAAACACTGTTAGGATAAAAGCATGCACTTGGGACAGAGCTCTCTTAACAGCATTATGGGTCCAAGGACAAACCAGTGTGCTAGATCCCTTACACAGGTTTAACCACTCACAGGAATGACATTTTTATTTATAGAATGATTAGCATGGGGTCATTATGCTTGTGAGGTCTCTGGGCAAATATTCCCATTGAGCCCATGCGTTATGATGGCACAGACCTAGGGTAGTGAGAAGAAGTTGCCATAGGCATTCAGATTTGCATCTCTCTACTTGTGATGATGGTTGACACCATCCGCAAAGGACTGTGGTTGCTCACTGAACCATCTAGTCACTGCTGTCCTGGCATATGTGTGGGTTGTGTCGTCAGCTGTTGTCATGTAACTTTCATTTGTTTGGTCAAAATTATTTTTAAAAAAAAAGATAAAACACATGGAACTCAGGTTAAAAGTTTTCAAAAACAAATGCCTGAGGAAACTGATAAACTTTAAATGGAATGATTCCAGGAAACGTGAAGAAATAAGAGAAATGTCTGGACACCTACTAGTATCAACAATTATGAGACAAAGAAGATGGCACTAAACTGGGCACATCCTAAGAAGCAAGAAGCAAAGAATCACCAAAGAGGTATTAAAATGGGAAACAAACTGATTGAGGAAACAAGGACGTACAATAGAAACTCTAGAATGAATTTTGAGGAAAGATGCTAAACTGAATCCATGACATCAAAAGGACTGCACATGATAGAATGGAATGGATTAAAAAGACTGTGAGCCTTATGTGACATACTTCCATTTTTGTGTTTAAAAATGATCAGTTTACATAAGAAGCTTCAATGAAACATGACTAGATATTGTTTTGCACTCCACAGAATGTAGCGATCAGTTTACATAAGAAGCTTCAATGAATCATGACTAGATATTGTTTTGCACTCCACAGAATGTAGCGACAGCTCTGAGTACTGTGATTTGGCCCGTATGCTCAAACTATGCCGATTCTATCACTTCCAGCAACAGTGCTGCCTCACATGTGAACGGCAACAGTTGATTCAAGGACAATAACTGAGTAATGACAGTGTTAATGTTTGCAAATTATTGTTTTTTTTTTTTAATATTTAAATTCCTATTTTTGTTGATTATATTGTCAAAAGCTTCATGTGAGTTCTGGGGCCCGTGTGTGTGTGTGTGTGTGTGGGGGGATGGGGGGGGGGTGTGACCCACTGCCCCTTAACAAGCATTTTAGAAAAGCTATTAAAAAATGGTTTGCTGAAATAGGATATGTTTAGCAGAAAGATGCAGATATCGCGGCCTAACCTACAACACAACAGATCAACCACATTTGAATTTTGTGTGTGTATGTGTGTGTGCATGTGTGTGTGTGTGTGCACACGTGCATGTTCTTAAATTCACCTTGGACATAAAAACAAGGTCACTGAGTTATTTATTTTGAAAAAAACATTCTTGAATACCTCTTATCAGAGCTTTTTTGTTTTTCTAGACAAAAAAAGATGTCTGTACTAATCAGTGTCTTAAAAGGGCTCACATGTCTATTACAGTAGTGCTGAAAAAAAAAGAGACCTAAAAAAGGGTGCCGGCGCTGCATTTCTTTTTTAACATCAGAAAAAGCCCTGCCTTTATTAACCTTTAGTATATTTCCCACATCAGTAATCCTTGCCTATCATATTTGTTTCTGTGGTCTTTTTCTGTTGTCTGGCTTTTGCACGTTCTGAAGGACTGTACAACTCTATGAACTTTTTCCTCACTCACTGAGCCTCCTGTAAGTGTGTTTGCACCACCCACCCCTTTTCCACTTCTGGATTCACTGACATTTATTTAGTACTTTCCATTAGTTCCACACTGAAGATTATTCCTTCATGTCATTTTGATCTCTCTACTAAAAGCAAGGGGAAACTACCACATTACTATCCCAAGAAACTCATCTTGGAGACTTCTTGAGTATGAAAGTACATTAAGCAGGAGAGCTGGCGAGAGACTGATTTACTTTCAGGCAGACGGTGATGAGAGTGACGTTCTGCAAAGGACCTGCTTCATGATGATGATTAAAAGCAGATGGCTGCTAAAGAATGTAGTGTAATTGTTGTTTTTTTTAAATCGTTTTCCTTCATGTTTCTAATTCACAAAACAGTTTTTTGCCAAAGCATTTCATTTATAAGAGATTATTATACTTAATTCTTAAATTTACAATGGACTTTAAAATAATGTTTCAAAGAAATTTATTTTTAGAATAACATTTTGTAAATAGGAAAATAGTTCTGAAAACAGGCGACCACACATTTAAACAAAAATTATGTAAATAGGAAACCACAAAATACCTTTTAGTTTCACTTATTTACTTAAATTCTTATATTTTGTAATATTTACCTGTTGACCAAACCCTACTTTTTCAAAAATTCCTACTGTACATAGTTTTCCCCTTTTTGTCTACAAGTTGAAAAATTGTTATTTGTAAAACATTTCTCTTGGGGGTAATTTTATGCCTTTGAGACTATGTGAATTCCCTTACAAAATATAAAATAATATTTGTAAAAAATATGGAATTACGAGTTATTTGAAAGCTTTAAAATAAATAAATATATATAAACGTGTCCATTAATATTATTATAAACTGTTGCTGTTGTTTCTTACAGCTGTAGAATGTTAATTTTGTGTGCTGGTAATTATTATTAGTTTTTGTCAAGAATGCTGAAAATCCCATGGATAGATGATTCTAAGAAATGAAAGCCAGCACTGCATCAGACACTTCTTCTCCTGTCCTCTATCCATAATAGAGCATAGGCCCTCCCAAATAATCATATACTTTGCTTTTGCATGTTTATTTTTATTCAACAGATCAATTTCATGGCACACGGGTACAACCCATAAGTACTCAGTTCTATTTCTAACTCAGCCTGTGTCTGAAGAATCTCAGCTCAGTGCACAAACTCTGTTGCACCGGCGAGGATCCTGAAATACTTTGAGTAGATTTTTAACTCAGTTTTGCCCGGGAGTGCTGTTTGGCTACTCTTTTCAATTTCTAACTGCCAAGGTATTTTTTACATGCGCAACAATACACACTGGCGTCTGATCCTGCTACCCAGAGGCCAGGTGAAATTACTCGAAGTACACATGAAAAAATCCCAGCCTTCACCGGAGCTTCAACCCGGGACCTCCAGTACTCAAGGCAGACACCATACCTCGAGATCACAGCCCCATGCAACTTACCTCGTGTCCTTATCTTTTTAATTTCTCTAGCCCATTTTCCATGAGTTCCTAGGCCAAATAAAGTGCCTTGGCAATCCAGATGCTTTTTGGCTTTCTTCGCACCACATGAATTTTCTTTTATTAAAACAACCTGTTCCATCCTGGTTGGCTGAATGTTACGTGTTTTTTTTTAAATTACTTTTTCAATAGTTTGTTTTTGTGACTGTAGTGTTCTATAGGATGAGCTAGCCAACTCAAGTCCAACCCTACTGTTAGCCATCTCTTTGCCTGGTAGGATGCATTGTTACTATTCACTACCTTCACCAATACGATATATTATCACAATGTGTCACTGCACACCTGGCATTCCAATGCTTGTTCTGTCCTCCAATGCAGCAGCCACTCTAAGATACTTCAACTGAGGAGCTGGTTATGTCTCCTACATCAGCCTCAAATGTGTTCCATTATTATAAAGGCAGTGTCTAGAGAATAATGATGTTGATCTGAACTGAACTAAATTTAGAAAGACTGAGGGTAACTCTCTCTCTCTCCAAGATTTGTACATTGCCAGGCGATAAAAAAAAAAAAAATGAAAAATCACGAGCACATGAATTTCAAAGAGACTGAATGTATACTTGAAGTAGGCACTGTGGAAGCCTGCTTTCATCAGTGTTCTCAGTGCAATGTGTAAAAAGTAAAAGGTTGGGATTTAACAGATGGAGTCAGTCACACACTGCATGCCTCTTAGGACGGAACAATTTCAGACACAACATTAGAGAGGTAAGCCAACATCAGAGAGATAATGTTTGTTAAATAATGTTTGTTATGTTATGATGGTCAATGTCAGTGTATTGGGCATTTTCATGCATCTTCCGGTACAGCAACCATCACAAATTAACTTTATTGACTGTTCCCATATAAAGACTGTTCCCATATAAAGACTGTTCCCATATAAAGACTGTTCCCATATAAAGACTGTTCCCATATAAAGCTAGACATAATAACTGTCTTGAGCATGGAGACGGCATGGATGTACATGCTTTTCAATGCTACAGATGATGTTTGATGAGGTAATAATCTAGCACAGAGGTCAGCAAGTGGTAAATACAGCAAATAAAAGCCTTCAAACCTGACCAATTTGATTTAAGCAGACAATTCAGACAGCTGCAACAACATCAACCATCACTGTATATATAAAGTAATTCAACAAGGGAAATAAATCCACAGTTCTTTATTCTAGTCATGAATAATGCATGAGCTAATCATAATGGACACTTGGAACATGAATTAGTACACAAACATAACATAAATGAGAACTGTTGAAATGTGAGGCTTTTGTGGTCAACTGCCTGGTCAGGCTACCTGTCAAGATACAACTTTTCTTACAAGGTTAGGTCGATCAAATATATGGATTTTTCACAAACACTAATTATAGCATAATATATTTGTATCCGTTTTTCGTTGTTGTAATCTTGACATCCCCTTGTGGCATGCAATTTTTAGCTATTTTAAAGCCCCACTATGGCTTTTGCCAGGGGCCTGAAATATGGCAAAACAGGGTTTCCGGGACCTCTCCATGGGTGAACCTCATCCGCATGGTGGCACTTTGTGTTACTGGGTGTTTTTCGCTTGTGTGATGTCCTGGCGGGGTACAACTTATATATATTTTGTTGTTGTTCTTCTGCGTCAGTTTTTTTAAATTTTTTTAACTTGTATACCATACAGGTTTCTGTGCACATCCCACTGGTTTCTGTGCACATCCCACTGGTTTCTGTGCACATCCCACTGGTTTCTGTGCACATCCAACTGGTTTATGTGCCCAACCCTATGGTTTTGTGCTTCACCACCCTGGTAATTGCACACCCAACTGGGTTATGTGCACATGTCCCTAGTTTCTGTGCCAACCCTGCTGGCTTCTGTGCATACCCCACTGGCTTCTGTGCACACACCCCTGGTTTCTGTACACACACCCTTACTGATTTCCATGCTACATCAAACTGGTTTCTGTGCATACCCCACCTCGAGTTTCTGTGTGCACCCAATTGCTTTCTGTGCACACTTCACTGGTTTTTGTGCCCACCCCACTGGTTTCTGTGCATACCTCATTGGCTTTTGTGCACACACCCCTGGTTTATGTGCACACACCCTTACTAATTTCCATGCTTCATAAAACTGGTTTCTGTGCATACCCCACCCCGAGTTTATGTGTGCACCCAATTGCTTTCTGTGCACATTCCACTGGTTTTTGTGCTTCATCACACCGGTTTCTGTGCTTGGCCCACTCTGGTCTGAGCTTCACCCCACTGGGTTCTTTGCACTGATTTCTGAGCACACCCTAGTGGTTTCTGAGCACTGGTTTCTGAGTATGAAGAGAAAAATGAGAGTTCTGCAACACAGTTTCTATGGAGATGGTACTGTGGCCCTGGACTGGGAGAACAATCTCTATAAGAACCTTACTCGGAAGCACATCCATCAACAACAGCACAGGCAAACTAAATGTCAATGCATCAGTCTTTTAAAATGTCTTCCCTAAGTTTAAAAACCAACCAAGCATCACATGTATGATTGAAATTGTGTCTTGTCTTTACAATGATGGTTGGCTACAGCGTAACCACCTGGTGTGTCTTGAAATATTACGTGATGAGGTCCCAATGTGTTCCATGCTAGGATTCTCATACCATGGATCATAAGTTTCTTATGAATTAAACATTTCTTTTTATCTGTTGGCTATTCTCTACAACTGCACAATTTATTGCTAGGCATATTCACCTGATGAGCTGCAGCGAAATATCTCTGGCAATTAATTGTGCAATGTACTGTCTGCGTTTTCTAAATTCTTCAAACACATTTTTCATGTCTGA